ATGAATATAGTTCCTAAATGGTAGTATCAAAAGATATAGATTGTACAGTATCCCAAAGAAAGTGTATAATAGTATCGCTGAAGATGTAGACCATAGTCCCAAAGAATCCCTACTTCTTAAAAGAGGGAATACACACAGCTCATCGTCAACATGCCTGTATCACAGAGGTATTTAAGTCTTTTAGCAGCCGCTATATTTAGGCGTGGAAACTTGCTGAGAAAGTGGGTCTCCACTCACATTTTGCATGCACGCGCTAAATTTACCGGTAAGACACACAACTCATCGTCAACTTGTGCAACCATTGTGCAACCATTTTAAATTTCACCCCTTTGAACGTGGACTCACATAAATTTTTCATTTTCCAGATATATTATTCTTGTGCAAGGATTTCCTTAAACTTCAAAAATAGTAAATGACATACTTTTCCAATTTTCCATATAAGCTTAAAATTTATAAAACGAAAATAAACATATAGATTTCATCTTCACGTTCCAATATTTTAAAAAAGGTCTAAAACTGTATTTTGTTTAAAATACTTTTTGAAATTATAAGTAACTTCAGTTAGATTTTCTGCCAAAGAGTTTGCATTGTTATACCCTATTTTAACACGAGTCAAATTAGAGTATAACATATTGGCAATTCTGAGGTTGCCACCTAATTATTTTAAAGGTGAATTAGGATACCAATTTTTGGCTAATAATGCTTAAAGTTAACTCTGTTCTATGGTCTACTTAACCTTTAAGGCACTAAAGCTTAGAGAAGATATTAAGCACTGTATATGATCCATTAAATATGGTTAACCGGCCAAACTTAGATTAATTGATTGCACTAAACAATAAGTGTAAATACCCAAATAATAAACTCAAGAACCTCTAAAAGAAAAATTAGCCTTCTTTAAAAAGGTTAGAAATTGACGTCAAGTTAATTAGGACTTTAACAGCTAAAGGATGATTCTTTTGTTTGAAATCCATTAAACTTAGTCTTCAAAAGTTTCTTGGTTAAAAATACACCAAAGCAAAAAAAGCTTAGACGTTAGAAAAGAACTACACTATTTTGGTTAGAAACTCAAATCTGGATACGTTACCAAGACCTTGGCATGGGTTAGAAAGTAGAAATAAAGAAAGGATTTTTTCCTTCCTATGCCATATATGAAACTTTATTACCAAATATGTGCATAGTATCTAAATTACCCGCCTAATCCACATTTTTCCTACAATTCATGTACCATTCGTCTATTATGAATAATTAGGGCAGAATATTCCATAAAAACGTGCTAAAAATCAGGAAAGAATCTTGGGATAGATTGATTCTACATTAACTTCAAGTTTTGAAAAGGAAAAAAGATTTCACATCTGCGTAATTTACTCTTAGAATACAATTCGAAGACCAGCTTCATCAAACTGAATTCAAATTGTAGAATTCAAATCTTCGAGATTCAACAACTCAACATTGGTATATTCTGTTCTTCATTCGTTTTCAGAAAACAAATTGGTGATCATAAATCTGTTCTTCATCTTTTTTTCTCTCAATCTAGAAATACAAAAAAACGAAAAAATTTAGAATAATACATCAGCAATCATGTCCAAAATCGCAATCATGCTACAATTCAATGGGAATTGGGATAACTATGGCAGATTTAGAGATTTTGAAGTTGATGCCATTGTGGTAGATGAGAATGCAAGCTACAGTATTCTGATTTCTATAATTGCAGAACAACTATCGATTGATACTTCAGAAAAAATTGTAGAAATCATTTACATGGTGAACGACAATTGTCCCCCAATGGAGATTAGGAATGATATGGGGGTTCGTGTGTATATGGAGACCAAAAAGGAGAATAAAAACTTAGGTTCATATCCGTTATGTATAAGTGTACGAGATTTCAATATGGAATTGGCAATCACCAACGATAACACAAGTGCAGGTTTGTATAGTTGTAAATTGCATAGATTTATGTTTTTACGGTATTATCTTCAAAATTACTACAGCTACCTACAATTAAACTACAAATCTGTTTAATGATATAATAAAGCAATGTTGTTTTCAAAATTACCTACAAAGTTAGTACATTTATAAAACAACATAAACTACAATTATGATTAGAAATTGTTGATTTCAAAATGTTGTCTTCAAATAAAACTACAATTGCAACAGTTATAGTAGAAATTAACTATAATGGCTGACATCCTAAAAATGGATGACTACAAAATTTTCACTATATCTACAAATTCTCTACAAATATTCTACAAAATTATAAGTACACTGTTTATCTTTATTTTGATGCAGGTTCATCTGGATCTATAAAGTTACTTGATATGTCATCATCTCCAGCTATAGAGGAATATCAAAGTGAAATAATAACAGAATCTACGCAAACTGCTATTGAAGAAGGACAAGTGTATCAGGACAAACAAGCTGTAGTTGCTGCAATGAAGCACTTTTCTGTGATGCACAAGTTCCAGTTCAGAGTTAAAAGATCTAGTCGTAGAAGGTAATCTATTTGTGGAGAAAAGACCAATAAAAGCAGTGTTATACTCAAGATATGTGTAATGTAAACATTATGGATAAATTGTAGTTACATTGTAGTTTATGTTACTTTATGTTAAAACAGTCCGTTGTTGCATCTACATTTATAATCTGTATTAAATATTGTATTTCTTTTTGTAGCTACTGGCTTGTATGCGTTGGTGAAAACTGTAAATGACACTTCAATTAATGATTCCACAATGTTCAAGATAAGGAGTTTCAACCGACAACACACATGCTCCCTAATGGATGAAACATTCATACAACGCAAACGTACTGCAGATGTAGTTGGTAGCATGGTAATTCCAAAGTATTGTGATCCTACGACTGTTTATACACCAAAGGACATACAGACTGACATGTTATCCGAACACGGAGTGAACCTAAGCTACATGCAAGCATGGAGAGTAAAGGAAAAGGCTTTACAGTTTTTGAGAGGGAATCCGGCTGACTCCTACAGCAAATTACCCAAATATTTTTATATTCTTGAGGAGACTTATCCTGGTTCGGTTGTTAAATTGAAAAAGACAGCAGATGAATGTTTCTTATACGCATTTGTTGTTCTTTGTACATCAATAAGTGGTTGGCAACATTGTAGGCCAGTAGTAGTGGTTGATGGGACATTCTTAAAGTCAGCCTACAGGGGGATTATGCTGACAGCAAGCACCATGGATGCAGCAGGTAAAAAATGTAAAAATTTTGTAGTAATTTGTAGTTATTTTGTAGCTATTACATGTAATGTAGATAAAATAAATATATTATGAATATATATTGTAGTTTTTATGTATTTATATTTTTATATAAATTTTCAAAGCTGCCAATTAATATTTTATGAATTAATAATGTAGGAACAATATTGCCCTTGGCATATGCTGTGGTTGATTCTGAAAACGACGCATCTTGGAAGTGGTTCTTTGAGCAATTCAAGCAGGCATATGGTGAAAGACCTTCAATGTGTGTTGTTTCAGATAGGAATGAGAGTATACTGAAGGCATTGTCTATCCGGGAATCCCACACTACTCTTGCATGTGGCATATTTGGACAAATATAAGGTCAAAATTCAAGAAGGGTCATCTACAATTGCATGAATTGTACTTTGCTACAGCACGGTCATACACTCTGGATGAATTTAATGAAAGGATGTCGAAGATTGAAGAGGTAGACCCGCGTGTGAAATCTTACCTATATGATATTGGTTATCATAGATGGTCAAGAGTACATGCAACAGTGAATAGAACGTGGACAATGACATCAAATATTGCAGAGTCGTTGAACGCAGTAACAAAAGATGCAAGAGAGCTGCCGATATTTGACCTAACAAAAGATGCTAGAACGTTGGACCAATGAGAAGTTATTGAAGGCGAAGGGTACTTTCACATTTCTTGGGGCCAAATTCAACAAAGACAACAGAACATTATCTCAGAAGCTTAGGGTAAGATCTTTTTATTTGGTGCAGAAAAAATGAATTACTTAATATGTAGTGTTTCCAGATTGTATATAAATTGTAGTCAAATTGTAGATAATTGTAGATTGTATATAAGGTGTAGAATATTTGTAGATGATTTGTATATAAGTTGTAGATAATAAATTTTTATGATTGAGATAATATTTTTTCTGTTTGTTCTGCAATTGTAGGTGAGAGCTTCAACAGATCATATACATATTGTGTTAGATGAAGCGGTACATTGTGTGTCTAGAAAACAAGAAATGTAGCTGTGGCCAATTCCAACTTGAAAAACTTCCATGTGCGCATACTTTGGCAGCATTAAGGCATGATTAAACATATGAAAATTATTGCTCTCTGTATTACACAAGGGAGAGCATTCTGCGTACATATGAAATGCCAGTAAATCCTCTTCCTGATATTGGATAAGGTAGTAAAACCACTGACGGGAGATAAAAGACAGTCAGGGAGACCTCAAAAGGAAAGATATAAAACCTATGATGAAATAAAATCAAAGAAGTACAAGGTGTCATGTGGAAATTGTGGAGGTGTCATAACAAAAGATCTTGCAAGAATGCGCCCAAGAAGAAATGAATATCATGTAGTTAGAATAGTTATTCAAAATAACTGTTAGTGAGTGTTAGCAGATTTTTTGTATAATAGTTTAAGTTTTTAAATATCATTACGAAGTAGACTAAAATTTGTTACATTTGTTTTTAAAGATCAGACATCTAAATTTGTCTTTGATAGAGTGTAATTAAATTTAAATATTTATTATCTACTTTAATTAAAAAAAATAACTTTAATGTAAAATGTTTCCAGATTGTAGGTAAAACATAAGTTAAGTGTATTTAAATTGTAGTCTTAGTAATAATTTGTAGATAATATATTTCTATGATTGGAGTAATTATTTATTCTTTTTGTTGTGTAATTTAACTTCATCTGACAGTTATATACAGATATTACCTAGAACTTGAAGGTAAATCATAAAAATTATGAACATATACAACTACAAAATTACAAACACTCAAAATGTAGATATTGTGGAGATTATTTGTAAAATTACAAAAAAAAAAGGTATGCTGCAATAAAAAAAATTGTTCATAAAGTAGTGTAACCTCACTACTTTCTTCAACTACAAATTGGCATCAACTAAACTAGGAAAACAGGACACTATTGCAGGAGCACCCTTCCTCCTTGCTAGCCTGCATGTAACCTCACTTTCACTGATTGACCCATCTTTCTTGCTTCTTTGTAGCATAGTCCCATATGAGCTTTATAGCGTCTACGGTGTTGGTCGATATCCGAAAGATCTACTGAAGGGATTGATTGACAAATCTCCAATGCAAACATACTCCGCAAAAGCAGCCATAAATACACCACAATCGCTGCATAAGACAAAAAAATTTAATTATTTAACAAATGATTATAAAAAAAATAATTAAACATCCAGAAAGAGAGAATGGTTTTTTTACAGTGATCTTTCCTTTTGCTGTGGAATCTCTGCAACCATCCACTGTATGTTGAGAGGGTCTGTAACTGGTTTCTCAATGTATGCCTTTGTGGTCTTGAAGTCAATGGCTTTACGCTTCCTGTAGAAACCAGTGCAAGACAAACAACATTATGATGTTGTTCAAACATCTTCTTGTAGAAACCAGTGCAAGAGGGATAATGATTGAAAACTTATCAACACATGTTCAAACAACATTATGATGGTGTGAAGACACCATTTATACACATAAAGTTGTCTGTCCACTATGTAGAAAACGATCAATAACCAATGAAAATTCTCTACAATGTTCACGGGCATGATGACATAGTCAACTTCATCCCAGGCAACATTAGCAAGGAGTATACCCAAGAATATATTCTGCAACATCATCATCAGGTTTAATAACCGAATACTTTTTTTCTGGCGGAGAACTTATAAACTTGTCATAGATTTGTACAATATTTGACTTGAACAAGCGATTGTAATACATAATAGCATCAATGTGCTGCAAAATAAAATGAAATAGATTAGCTACAATGTAACTACAATTATCAACAAAGCAGCTACACCTTAAAATACAAAGTCAGAATTCTAACAAACTACACTTTAACTGCTATACACAGCAACACATGGAACAACAACTACCACAAAAGGTTCAACTGGCTCTACAATTTTACTACAACCATGAAATATAGATATACCAATTCTGTCCAAATTAATAAATATACAATTTTTTACATACACTATAATAAATATGATACATAAGGTTCAACCTAAATACAATCACACTATAATAAATAAGAGCAACATTTATAAGAAGTGAATTTATTCTTTGATACTTACCGAGTCATTGAGGACTCCCCCGAGGTGAGCAAGGGAATAAAACCAGTCCTTCTTTTATGGAAAAGGGAGCCTTCTTCCTGTAACAACAAATAAAATTCACAAAATGAATTACATTTTTTAACTTTTAAATGCTGAAATGAAAGTGTCAAATTAAGCATTCATACCTCTTAGATACTTCGTCAATTCAGTGGTATAACCACTTGTTGAACTTATCTAACATATCAAAATCTACATTTTCACTTATAAGAGTTGTGAATGGGTGCTTGAGGTAGAAAAATTTAGGTCCAATAGAGCTGCTGCCTCCAGAACTATATAGCGGTATGAAAGGTGATCGTGCATGTTTCCCCGGTTGCCTGGTTCTCCCCGGATGAATAGGGGTTGCTTCATCTGGTACGGGCTGGCCATACTTAACCAATGTGTTAAATTGTCTGGCAACTCAAAGTCATCCAGAAACAACTTCAGAAACAACTTCATCCACATGATGTACATCTTCACCTTCATTTAGCTGTTTCTCAATGACATGTTCTGTCTGAGTTCCTACAGTCACTCCGTGAATTGGGGACTGTGCATATCATCGGTTATTAAACCCGATGATGATGTTGCAGAATATATTCTTGGGTATAGACTCCTTGCTAATGTTGCCTGGGATGAAGTTGACTATGTCATCATGCCCGTGAACATTGTAGAGAATTTCCATTGGTTGTTGAATCATGTGTTGATAAGTTTTCAATCATTATCCCTCTGTATTTGTTTTGCACTGGTTTCTACGGGAAGCGTAAAGCCATTGACTTCAAGACCATAAAGGCATACATTGAGAAACCAGTTACAGACCCTCTCAACATACAGTGGATGGTTGCAGAGATTCCACAGCAAAAGGAAGGATCACTGTAAAAAAATCATTCTCTTTCTGGATGTTTAATTATTTTTTTATAATCATTTGTTAAATAATTAAAAAAAAATTGTCTTATGCAGCGATTGTGGTGTATTTGTGGTTGCTTTTGCGGAGTATGTTTGCATTGGAGATTTGTCAATATGTCAATCCCTTCAGAAGACCTTTCGGATATCGACCAACACCGTAGACGCCATGGAGCTCCTATATGGGACTATGCTACAAAGAAGCAAGAAGATGGGTCAATCAGTGAAAGTGAGGTTACAGGCAGGCTAGCAAGGAGGAAGGGTGCTCCTGCATTGAATGAGAAGACTAGAGTCCAGAAAAAGAAGAAATAGTGTCCTGTCTTCCTAGTTTAGTTGATGTCAATTTGTAGTTGAAGGAGAATATACTACTTTATGAACAAATTTTTTTTATTGCAGCATACCTTTTTGTTTTGTAATTTTATCTTTCATCTTAGAATACAATTTGCCTACAAATAATATCCACTATCTACATTTTGAGTGTTTGTATATAATTTTGTAGTTGTATATGTTCATAATTTTTATGAAATACCTTCAAGTTCTAGGTAATATCTGTATATAACTGTCAGATGAAGTTAAATTACACAACAAACAAAATAAATAATTACTCCAATCATAGAAATATTTACCCACAATTTATCTACAAATCATCTACAAATTATTACTAAGACTACAATTTAAATACAGTTAACTTATATTTTACCTACAATCTGGAAACACTTTACATTAAAGTTATTTTTTTTAATATTAGTTGTATTGCAGATAATAAATATTTAAATTTAATTACACTCTGACAGAGTCAAATTTAGATGCCTGATCTTCCAATGGCATAATCAAAGTCAGAAGATAAAAATAAGCAAGGGCAAATCAATCCATTTATTGGTGTTCAATCTATTAAATAGAACGTAGTATTTAGGACTTATCATCTCGTATTTTGCTATGCTATCATGTGAATAGATCATAAAATGCATTGAAAGCCACAAAAACTTCTAACTTTCAAGAATAGGCATCCAATGGTCACGTCCATAAGTTAACTATCAAAAAGCTAAGAAATAAATTATATCACTAGCAACAACTCACAAAAGACTAGATGCAAGAACAAAAAGAAAGTCCTGAAGCTTTCCAAATATAAGGTACACTTGCAATAACGACATTTCTCATTAGTCACAAGGAATTCACCTATTTATTTTAATGACAAAATTACTGCATTCCCACACACATATTCTAGATGAATCACAGAATATTCAAACCAGTAAAATAGTAAGCATGTGCATATTTACTACAGTAAGAAGTATTCTGAACATTACTTGTATATAATAAAGCTTGAACTTACACTAATGGGTGGAGGTTTAATTAAACTTCTGCTATGATATTCCATTAAGTAATTTAAGTATGCTCAAGACCACAATCTATAATAGAGAGTTTCACCAAAAGGTCTCGACATTAAGCAATTTTAAGTATGGTTTCTGTTCTCCCAAAAGTTGAAGTGAACTATGTCGACATCCAACAAGAACATGCATTTTCATTTCTCGTGCAAATTTGAGCAAGTAAAATTACAAGTAAAACCTATAGTCATAACACAATTCTCAATAGCCCTTTAACATCCAAAGTTTTATTTTAATTAAAATATTGAAACCAGCATCCTCATGAACATCTTAGAATACTTCAATTAAGATACTAAGCCATTCTTTCTAGTGAGAGTATTAGGAAAGAAAAGTAACCATTCTAGGCGGAGAGTCATGTCTAATAACACCTCTAAAACATGGTGTCTAAGTTGTAAACATACAATTTAAAAATAAAATAAAAAAAGATTTGGGTATATTACTAGTATATGAAACACCAGAAAAGCAAAAGAGAATATTTATGAGCCTTTAGATAAATTTTATCACTCAGTTTGTCAAAATACATGGTCAGCTTATAATATCCTTAAAGATATGTTTTCCATATAACTCATGAAACATGATTTCTATACTTAAGAAATATTACAACATGATTTTTACATGAACTTGTGACAGAACACCTATGACAGGAAAAGTATCCGAGTCTAATTCCAAACTAAACAGGATTGACACATTTCACAAAGGTATTATAACAAACATGTGTCCATTAGAGCATGGCTCTCTAAGGGAAATAATTTCTTCTGGACAAAACAAAACATATCTCACATCTAATAACAGAATAGAGGAGATTAAAGTTCAGAAAGAAACTAACCTATTTCGGGGCAGTAAACTGAGGCGTTGGCTTTGTATCTCACATCTACCGAACTCCGACCACGAAAGCGCTAACTCGAACTGCCGTTAAATGCCGGAATGAACAGCAAAATGCCTCTGTTTCGGTTAAGAAACCAACAAAGGCTGAGAAGCTAAGTTTTTTAGAGCAGTTTTAAAGAGGTAAACAAAATGAGCGAAGAGCAAGTGAGTATCAAGGTTAGCAGCAGCGGCCAAAGATGGTCCCAAAATTGCTTCCAGACGCGAGTATTTATAGAGGTAACTCTAGGGTCGGGATTTCAAATTAGCCATTTTGAAAGTCAAAATAGCCGTTCAAAAACGGTCGAAATTGCAAGATTTGTACAAAAATAGAGTGTACATCTTTGTGGCAGAGCTTATAAAAGTTAATCTTTGACACAAATAGGAAGAAGTCAAAATCTACTCTTGAGAAGAGGGCAGGCGTATGGAGAAATGTTTTGAGAAAACCTAGTTCTGATATTTGGTGGGGCATAAGGGCTAATGTGAGGAGGGGAACATTGGGCTTTAGAGAAAAGGATTTTGGGCCATCTTTCTAGGCTTTGTTCGGCTGAAATGCAATTGCAAATTGCACGGGCGCCCAAAACCTGTAGCCGCTTTGTCTTTCTGCTTGTACCCGTACTCATTTTTTTGTTAAAAGTTATTTGAAAAGACTATTTTGCCCTTCTTTATTAAAAAACTACTTTCTCTCCAAGTATACGCTAGTCTTCTACTGTCTTTGTCTCTCTCCCCCATTACTCGCGTTTTTTTGATTTGCTCTTCTCTGAAATCAAAGGGTTTTCGTCGTTGTTTCGAATTTTCAACTGCTAGTCGTCGTTGTTCCCACATTACGATTTAATCACAGGTACATTGCATTAACTTTCTGGGTTTTATTTTATGATTTAATTTCTGGTTTTGGGTTTGATAGTCATATATTTATGATAGGGTTTAGTTTGATAAGTTCATTAGTTTTACTTTTACGTTTGTATTTTTAGGTTTTTTGAACGAGTGTTTATGTTATTAATTAAAATTCTATAAATTCTTCTGTGATTAGACGTTCAAAATTTTAAAAATTTTCAGTGTTAAACAGATGATAATGATACCTTAGATAGGAGCTGCAGTTTTTTTCATGTTTTGGCATTATTTTTTATTTTGAATTTGTGTTTTATTTTTTTTGCTGAATGTTTTGTGCTTGTATGGAAAAACAGAATTAAGTTTTTGTGTTTGTAATTGGTGAATTCCATCTTTAGGAGCTGAAGTTTTTTGTGTTTGTAACTGGTGAAGTCCAACTTTAGGAGATGAAGTTTTTGTATTTGTTACTGGTGAACTTCAGCTCTAGAGCTGAAGTTTTTGTTTTATACCTGTCGAACTTCAGCTCTAGAGCTGAAGTTTTTTTTTTGTAACTGTCGAACTTCAGCTCTAGAGCTGAAGTTTTTGTTTTATACCTGTCGAACTTCAGCTCTAGAGCTGAAGTTTTTTTTTTGTAACTGTCGAACTTCAGCTCTAGAGCTGAAGTTTTTGTTTTATACCTGTCGAACTTCAGCTCTAGAGCTGAAGTTTTTGTTTTATACTTGTCGAACTTAAGCCTTCTTAGGTGTTGAAGTTTTAAATGATCTTTTTGATAATGTCCTGATGTTATTATTTGTATCTTTTACTTTTTTGGACAGATGACTCCTAAATCACCTAAAGATCCTAAAGTAGCTAAAGAAGGCAAAGCACCTAAAAACCTAGACTACCTGTAGTAGCACCAGGTCCTTATGCCCTGAGCCTCCACCTACAGTACCAGGACAAAAATATTTTGAGTTTACAGAATGGTTTAACTCTAAGGGTTACTGGAAGGGGGAACCATGATTTGAAGAGTTTAATTGCAAATTTCTTGACTCATGCACAAAGGGATAAGCTTAATAATGGTGCATTTAGATACATTATTGCTATGGAGAATTTCAAATGCAGCATGAAGTTGGTTCATTATCTGTGTCTTTCTCGAATATTCACGAATGATCGAGACTCCATTAGTTTCAAGATTTTTTGGCATGATGTTTCCTTCACCCTTGAAGACTTTCACATTATGTGTGGTTTGCGGATCATATCACATAATATTGAAAAACCATTTAATCGAGAGAGCACTATTCTGAAGCGCTATTTTGGTAAGTCCAAGGGTGTGAGTTTGAAGGATATTCGAAGTTTTATGACTTGCAATGTAATTCCAAAGAATGCTGTGTTTCATGCACACGTATGCGAGAGTGATGATGATGCAATTAAGCTTATGGAAATTCTTATTGTAGAGTCTATTCTGTTTGGGAAAAATACCGAGTCATGTGTGATTGAGGAGTATGCATCTATCGTTGAAGACGAGAAGCTTTGTGCTGAACATCCTTGAGGTAATGTGGCTTGTGAGAAGATCATTTATTCACTGAAACATGCATTAGACAAGCAGAACAAACATCATGCAACTGAGTATAAACTTACTGAATTTCCATATCCGTTATGTGTTTGGTTTTATGAGCGCTTCCCAGATGGTCGGGAGAAGTATGTAGCAGAGGATGAGTACCTTGATATGCCTTAGGTCCCCAGGATGTTACATTATGTATGCGTGGGAGAGCCTAAATATCCCGAACTTTATTATATGTTCAAAACTCATGAAGTAAGTTACTTTTTTTTTTTTTTTGTATTTGTGTTAATATGCTGATGTATTAGTTTTTTTCTCCTCATAATATACTTTTTTGTATTAAACAGAGATATCGCGACTTTAGGGTATTGGATATAATTCATACAGAAGGGGAATTGAATTCAATGCCTTTAATTGGGAAATTACTGTGCAGCCGGATTCGTTCAAATGTAGTTAATGCAGTTCTTTCAACTGGTAAATCACCACGTACTCTGAGTCTATCAAAAGAATTGAATCGAACTCCTGTCATTGGTAAATCACCACCTACAAAGAGTCGATCAAAAGAAGCGAATCAAACTCATGACATTGGTGAATCACCACGTAGTCGGAATCAACCAAAATAACTGAATCGAACTCCTTTTATTGGCGAAACATCTCGTACCAAGAGTCGTTTTACCTCTTCTACATTTGACTTTGATGACGATGAATTACTTGATACAATATGCTCTGTAAGTTTTGATCTAAAGTTTTTTGGGTTTGTTTTTGTAAAAGTGCAACATGTTTTTTGAGCTGAAGTTTTTTTCTATATCTGAATTTTTGTTGTGTATTTATTGTAGAGGTTAACGACGGAGGTTCAAAGGCATACAAAAAAAGAAAGAAGCACGATCATGAATGAAGTTTTTGATAAGTTTAAAAAGGAGGAGCGAACTGCTATTGTGGATGCGGTTTTTGTAAAAGTGAAGGTAAGCTAATTTATAGAGAAGTCTTTTTATTTGTGCTGATTTTATTTCAGATTAATCATTGTTAGTAATTTTTTTTCTAGGAATATTTCGATGAGAAGTTTGAACAGTTGTTTATGATTGTCAACAAATCAAATGGAATGGATGATGGCAATTTTGATTTGAGTAAGCATCGAAAATATGACAGGAGGAACGACTGTTACAAAGATCCATCGGCTTTTGAAGGCGATCAACATGTTCAAGAACAAGTTGAAGAGCACAGTTCCAGTGTAGATAGATTGAGCAGAGATGTAAATGATGAAGCACATTTATCAACTGAGAATATTGGAAGCAAGCAAGGTGCACATAATCAAGTTGTTGAGACTGAAGAACATACTGCTCATGATGCATTACGTAAAGTCACAGATGATAATGCTACACATAATGAAGCGGCTGTTGAAGGCGTTGAACATGTTCAACAACAAGGTGGAGAGGAACAATTCAATGTCTGTAGATAGAGTAAAGGTGGAGAGAAAGGTACAGATGATCAAGTTGTTGGCACTGAAAAACATGCACTGAGTTGTGCTTTGGAAAGTGATATTGGAAATCAAGCACCTGTTGGTACTTTAAATCTAAAAGACGATCGTTATGCAGGAGTAATAGCGATTTGCAATGAATTTCTAGGTGGTGATACACAGGAAATTGTTACTACATGTACAAAGAGTGAAGTTTATAATATTTCAATTATATCTTAGATAGGAGTTGAAGTTTTGTTTTCATGTGTTTGTGTTTTTTGTAAAAACTACAGCATGTTTTTAGTGAATTTTTTGGTTTGTAACTGGTGAACTTTCAGCTATAGAGCTGAAGTTCTTTTTTTATAACTGTCGAACTTCAACTATAGAGCTGACCATTTTTTTATAACTGTCGAACTTCAGCTCTAGAGATGAAGTTTTTTTTTGTAACTGTCGAAGTTTTGTTTGTGACTGGCTAACTTCAGTCTTCTTAGAGTTGAAGTTTTAACTGTTTTTTTATAATATCTTGTAGTGAAATTTTCACTACACGTATAAATTTTTTCTATGTTTTATATATAGAAAAACTAGTTGATCTATTCCCCCTCTTTTATGAATATGCAGTGGAAGTTGAAACTAGTCGTGGTTCAATTGCCACAACTCAAAAACTCTCTAATGATGCTCAATTGAATGAAGGTAGAGTTGAGAAAAACCTTCCAGAGAATACTGCAATGGTTGTCGACGTTGGTTCACAATTGAATGATGCTGGAAATGCTGATATTGAGAAAGGCAGGCAGCCTGGTGAAACCACAGCGGAAGACAAACGTAAAGGTATTCTATAGATCATGAATTTATTATATTTGATCGAAGTATATTTTGTACATTGTGAAATTTTACATATTTTATTTTCTTTTTTATGTTTTTGAATGATTTTTCAGAAAAGACTGGAGGCAGCTCGAAAAGAATTGGGTGAGATTCTGCAGCAATATGAAAAAGGAGAAATATATATATTCACACTTGACAGGTGTGAAGTGTGTTGGTACTATTTTATAAAATTTAGTAAGTATTATTTATTTTTTTATTTTTTTTGCATGAAGATACAGGATCTGTTGGAATGCAAACATCATGTGTGTCGCAACACTTAGACCAGGTAATTATTTTCTGCAATTCGATTACTGGCTATTTTATTGCCTAATGTGTGTTCTCTATCAGTTTTATTTATGTTTATATTTTCCTTGCTTTTGCAGATCTAATCTGATGCATCGGAACTGCTTCCAAAACCTAAAAGAAGGAAGATTTCTAGTTCTCCTATGTATGACACCAGTGATATCCCCAACTTCAATTTATGTTCATTTTCACTTGGTAGTACACAAGGGGCTGATTCAGAAGGTAATTCTGCTGCTGTTGTTGTTCGTGAAGAGACAGAAGAATGTCGTGAACAATAGGGAATTGGTCAAGCATCTGCCACGATGGCTGTAGTTTCCCCCCTACTGCTAAACAACAGTAGTTAGTTGTGACGGAACAACAGGAAGAGCAAGCAAAAGGAAAACAATATAAAAAAAGGGAAAATGATGCGTATGGGGAGTATTTGGTTGAGATCTCCTTATGTAGTTTATAAGAAAAAGCAAAGGGGGCAAGATTGGATAGTAGGAAAGAATAGAAGAAGGTG